AAAGTTATAAAAGGGCCTGTTCCTGAACATGTGGCTCTCTTGGCTCCTCTCGTCTGCTCTCCTCTCCTCCTGTCTCTCTTCTCTCTGCTCTCTCTCTTCTCTCCTGGCTAGCTCCGCTTCTCTCTCTCTCTCTCTCTCTCTCTCTCTCTCTTATACTCTCCTTCTCTCCCTTTTTCCCTCTTCCCCCTTCCCTCCAGCCTGCTGGTTTTCCCCAATAAACCCTTTCCCTTAAAAAAAAAAAAAGTATGATGAATGGGGAATATTTCCCTGTTAACAATATTAAATCTTCCAGTCCATGAATATGGATTTAATTCCATTTATTTGAATTTACTTTCTTTGTTCTGTGGGTTTTTTTTTTTTAAATATTTATTTATTTGGAAGCCAGAGTTACAGAGAGAAGGGGAAGAGACAGAGACAGAGAAATCTTCCATCTGCTGGTTCACTCCCCATATGACCACAGTGGCTTAGGCTGGGCCTAGGCCAGACCAAAACCAGGAGCCAAAAGCTTCTTCTGGGTCTCCCTTGTGGGTAGCAGGGGCCAGAGCCCAAAAGGGATGCTGACATTTGTAGGAGGAAGCTTTACCTCTTGTGCCACAATGCCAGCCCCTGTTCTGTAGTTTTAAATGTACAAGTCTTGCCCTTGGTTAAATTTATTCCTAAGTATTTTTTTTTCTTTTCGGTATTTATTGTAAATGGAATTGTTTTCTTAATTTTATTTTCACTTTGCTCATTGCTACTTTATAGATGCACAATTGAGTTTTGTACATTGGTGTGGTGTCCTGAAACGTTGATGAATGCATTTATTCTCATAAGTTTTTAATGGATTCTTTAGGATTTCCTATATACAACTTTATATAAATAGAAGTAGTTTTATTTCTTTTCCATTTTGAATATTTTTAATATCATCTTTGGGAGTTGTCCTGACTAGAACCTCCTACAAAGTTGAAATAAAGCAAGTTGTAATCATGTCCCCTTTGCTTTTTTAAAAAAAAAATTTATTTATTTATTTATTTGAAAGGCAGAGTAAGAGAGAGAGGGAGAAACAGAGAGAGATCCCTCCCATCCACTGTTTCACTCTCCAAGTGGCCACAACAGCAAGGTCTGGACCAGGCCAGTGCTGGGAGCCAAAACTCCATCCTGGTCTCTCACGAGTGGCGGAAGCCCAAGTATTTGGGCCATCTTCCACTGCCTTCTCAGGCTCATTGGCAGGAAGCTGAATCAGATGTGGAGCAGCTGACATGCCGGCATAGCAAGCAGCAGCCTAACCCACTGAGCCACAACACTGGCCCCTGCCTTTTATTTCGCACTTTACTTCTTTAGTTCTTGATAACGTAATTGTAACGGTAATTGAGTTTTCCATGCTTTGTCTATATGCCTCCTTAAAAAATTGAAAACAGTAAACAATATTTAAAGAATTAGACTTGTAAATATCTGTCATTATTCAATGTGCTTGATTATGTTTATTTTCTATAATTCTAATGCTGAAACTCCTAGAGCTCTTAAGGAATATTCAAATATGTCCTCTACCAGTACTCAAAATCATGCAGCATTTTAGTATGCTTCATATTTTTAGCATGCCTTAATTGTACAGACTTCCCCACAGGGTTGTTCATTGTTTTTTTTTTTAAAATCTTATTTTTTTTACCACATTGCGACAGGCAGAGTGCACAGTAAGAGAGAGACAGAGAGAAAGGTCTTCCTTTGCTATTGGTTCACCCTCCAATGGCCACCGCGGCCGGCGCGCTGCGGCCGGCGCACCGCGCTGATCCGATGGCAGGAGCCAGGTGCTTCTCCTGGTCTCCCATGGGGTGCAGGGCCCAAGGACTTGGGCCATCCTCCAGTGCACTCCCTGGCCACAGCAGAGAGCTGGTCTGGAAGAGGGGCAACCGGGACAGAATCCGGCGCCCCGACCGGGACTGGAACCTGGTGTGCCGGTGCCGCAAGGCAGAGGATTAGCCTATTGAGCCGCGGCACCAGCTTTTCTTTTTTTCTTATTGGAGGAAGAAATCAAACCTATGTCATCATCACTATATCCTGTATATTCTCCAACTTCTGACTTATTTTCTTAACATTTACTTTATCTACTCTTCTTGACTTCATGGGAATGCACTGATAATTTTTTTTTTAAAGATAAGATGTCATGGTCTATTGATACACATGACACTTAAGATGCTATTGGGAAATTCACGACACAAAAAAGAATAAAGACTGTGCCAACTGTAATAGAAATTTCATAGGTTTCAAGAAGAGTAGGTATGAAACCTATGAAATTTCTATTACAGTTGGCACAGTCTTTATTCTTTTTTGTGTCATGAATTTCCCAATAGCATTTTAAGTGCCATGTGTATCAATAGACCATGACATCTTTAAAAAAAATTATCAGTGCATTCCCATGAAGTCAAAACATAAAAAGAAAGGTAATGTGGACCGTGGATTATATTGTAACATTGCATGGATTGGCAAAGCATTGTTTATTACGCATTGTCTCTGTAATTGCATAAAAAGAATACATACCGAGGGAGCTGGTATTTAGCTTAGCCTGCATCCCCTATCAGAGTGCCTGAGTTCAAGTTCTGGATCTGCCTGCAGACCAGCTTCCTGCTAATACAGACCCTGGAAGGAAGTGGTAGAAGTGGCGATGGCTCAAGTGATTGGATTCCTACTGCCCATGCAGGTTGTGAGCTTTTGGGTAGTGAACTACCAGTGGATAGGAATGTGCATTTGTGTGCAATCTCTCTCTCTCTCTCTCTCTCAAAAAAATTTTTTAAGAAAAAGAATACATGTTGACATTACCAGATTAAGGACTGGTTACAATATTTGAAACTCCTAGGAAAGTAATGGTTTGAACAACAAAAAACGTTAAAGCACACCGTCTATCACAGCAGAATACATTTACAAATTTCAAAACATAAAATGAGGTTGCAACCAGAAGTCTCCAAGTAGTGCGTTTGTTAGGAAAGCAGGTAAAGCTGTTTACTGATGGAGAATTAATTTGCACTTGATTATAGCAGAAAAAGAAAGGAAATGAAAATGAAATTGTTTCACATTGCTTTAAGTGAGAACAAGGCAAAGGATTTTGAGTGGGTTCCTTGGCTCTTGAAATTAAAGATACTGATCACTTGTTGAAATTTATTAGAAGACTGATGTAATAGAAGATATTTATTTATTAGAAGATTTTTTATTTTATTTATTAGAAGATATATATTAGTCATTAAATGCAATGACTGAAGAACAGCCTCTGTGAATAGTCTATGTGAAATAGCTACAGGCAAGGAAGTTTTCAAAGAAGTTGAGAAAATAGCAATTCAATATAATAAAAGAGGAAATCTGCCAAGAAATGGAAGCTTGATGGGTAAAAATACCTGTGATCCAAAAAAGGCTAACTTGAGCAAATTTACAAAACTTGTGTATTTTGTGGAAAATAGTTGAATCTAACATGTTGCTGAAGCAGCGGAGTAAACCATGAGCTTCATTTGTGCTTGTGGATACAGCCGTCATCATCTACTTTTGTCAGATACAGAAGCTGAACAGCCCGACTTCCCCCGTGACGGGGCAGTGAGGCAGCTTGTGTAGCAGCAGAGTTCTGCACAACTTCAGAGTTTAGAGCTCAGGCCATTCTGAACAAGAAGAGTCTCTTTCAACCACTGTTATTGAACTTGAATGACTTTGGAAATTAGCTTTTGCAACACAGTTGATTTGTTTCTTGATGAATGTAACTCAGAACTACAGGGCAAAGCTGCGTTTATATTAAAAAAAAAAACAGAACTATACATACTATATACTATATAAATATATATTCCCTGTGCTTCAGAAATTAAAATGTGAAATCTCCACCCCTAAAGAAATGTACCAGATCTGTAGCAGATATATTTTCTGAGCTCAAACTACAGTTCTAGTACTGTCCTTCTGTCATTTTATGGATTTATACTTCTTTAAAACAATGATTTTACAACATTGGGTCTCCAGTGAAAAGGAGATAAACATAATTGCCATGTTGAACTTTTAATAAAAGAGTCATAAATATGGGTTTGTTTGGGTTTTATGGATAACTTTATGTTAGCTGAAAATTCTGTTTTGCTCCTAAGCTCGAGACAGACTCCCCTTTAATATAATCGATTGTTTGGATTTTTGCAGAAATTTTCCATATGAATTCCATGAGGTGTGATTTTTCTCTGGTTAGGTTGTTTTGCATAATTAAATTTGACACTTTGTTCATAAAACAAACAAAAAAAATAAAACAAAACTGAGACTCATTCATTGTCTCAAGCAGTGGCCGCAATATTGAGGGCTCCCCTCACCTCAAGAAACTCCAGTCTGGTAGAGAGATATGGACAGTTATAATGAGTGTCATGTGGTAATGGAGAAGTGTTCCAGTGCTGTGGAAATGGAAAAAAAGTGTTTGAATTGGATCTTAGAAGCAGAAGTTCACTGGGTCAGGACTGGCCGTGCAAGGCAGAAGGAGCAGCACCTGCTGTGCATGGAAGGGTGAGAGGTCAGAGAAGTGTTTGTGTAAGGCTGTAACTATTAAGAGTGTAAGGAGTTGCGTCTGGGATGGTAAAGTATGGCCAGATTATGGAAGGGCCCCGTGCAGTGTGCCCTGAAAATCTGGTTTGGGATGCAAATCTCAGGACAGGTTGCAGTAGACTTGACTCATAATGAGGGGACCATCACAGCTTACCAAGCCTGTTACTTCTGGTTTGATAAGCCAGCCTAGCTAACATGAAATTTTCCATCTGCTTTCTGATATCTCCCCTTTGCTCAGTGTACTTGCGATAGAAGACCCCATTTATAAAACCTGGCCCTTGCGCACATTGAATTGAGACTGAATTGAATTGAAAATGCACTTACTGGTTTGGGATTTTAGAAGTCTTCTTGAGAGGCAAAGACTTTTAGGAGGTATTAAAATGATCTGAAAGGGCAAAATCACATTTGATTTTGTACTCACCAGCTGTCAATGAGCATTTATGATTCTCAGAAACTTTTAAAATTCTGTTTTTCAGTGGACAGAAGACTGCAGAAAATCAACTTACCCTCCTTCTGGACCAACGTGAGTAAACCTCACATGATCAAAACTCACTTTGACCTTTATGGGGGTTTTTCTTTATGTAATCTCAAATAAAAATAAAACCAGTAATGAATAATAAGCAGATCATTTCCTTTATCCCAAGACAAAAGTCTCTATACTCTGTATTTGGCTAAGAACCTGGACAAATATTAAAATACTCAGTGATTAAAATGCCCATTTCTTGTCTATGAAAGTCATAGGAAATACAGGTGTGTCAATTCTCCATTAAATTCCTCTGTCTACTACTAAGCATTTTTCTCATCTTTGACAGATGCAAGCCAAGGCCTGTATTCAGACTGACTTGAAATTTTCTTTTGTCCCTGGAAATAAATCACCAAATTATATTGGAATAAAAAAGCACAAGACCACTTATGTAAAAAAAAAAAAAAAAAAAAAGGTCAAGAAATAACCTTGACATGAAAAAGGAAAGCCATTGAGGATAAAACAGGATTGGAGAAAAGAAGAGCAAAGATCATGTTCAGCATTGCTTTTAGTCTAAATTTTGATCTTTCCACATCCTCTGTGGCTAAATGGGCCTATAAGAATGACACGACAGTAGAGCATAGGCCCAGTGTCTACAGAATGTGGCAAAGAGGGAAGCGGCCTGGGGAACAGGAGTATTTCCTTCCCTTCTTCCCTCTCACTGAACATGGCCTGCTGAGGTAGCGGAGAGCAGGAATTGATACCAAGGTGATTCTGAGTTTTCTTGATGTTCCAAATCTCTCCCTCTCTACCTCTCTTTACACACACACATACACACACACACACTCTCTCTCTCCTCCCCTTCTCTCTCTCTCTCTCTCTCTCTCTCTCTCTCACACACACACACACACACGTGGTATCTGGAAATAAACTAGCAAATTATATTGGAACAAAAGCACACAAGACCTCATATGTGAAACATTCAAGAAATAAACTGATATAATGGCACTACTGAGAAAAAACAGAATTGGAAAACAAAAGAAGGGCATTCCAAATATATATATATATATAGTTGTCTAATATATATATATTCCAAATATATATATATATAGTTGTCTAAATTCTATATTCTAAATAGCCTCTAGTCCAATGTCTCTAGGATACTGAACTATCACCCCTGTATCCCTGAGTCCCATAGTGTGTTTCTTTTATGCTGTTCACTGAGTAATTAGCATCTGTGTCCTCTTTGTATCTGTTGTACCACTTGGAATGGTGGGTTCAGGCAACGTGATTGATATTATGATGACCTAGACATAGCAAATGCTAAGTCTCGGAAGTGATTAAATGATATTTACTGTTTAGTAAAGTAGGAAGCTCTACCATGGTAATTGCTGTTGATTGAGTACCAATTACTTCTGGTTGAGTGAAACTGTATTAACCTAAATTCTTTGGATTTACTCACCTTTATGTAGAAAGAGACAAGTACCAGGCAGGAAGTAATTTAGAGCTAACCAATTTCCATGTATTTCTCAAGCTAATTCACATTCCAGTGTTCTTTTTAAGGGCTTGTTTAAAGGCCTTTTTTTTTTTTTAAGATTTATTTATTTATTTGAAAGTCAGAGTTACACAGGAACAGGAGAGGCAGAGAGAGAGAGAGGTCTTCCATCCACTGATTCACTCCCCAATTGGCCTCACCGGCCGGAGCTGCACTAATCTGAAACCAGGAGCTTCTTTCAGGTCTCCCATGTGGGTGTACGGGCCCAAGGACTTGGGCCATCTTCCACTGCTTTCCCAGATCATAACAGAGCTGGGTCAGAAGTGGAGCAGCCAGGACTCAAACCTGTGCCCATATGGGATGCCAGCACTACAGGCAGTGGCCTTACCCGCTACGCCATAGTGCCGGCTACTAAAGGCCTTCCTTTCTGTCACCACTGAGACTGGCCTTCAGTATCTCACTGATTGCATCTCTTGGATGGTCTCATTGCCCAGTTTGGTGAACATTTAATGAGTATCTTCCATGGTTAAGGCCCCTTTTCTTCCTCCCTTTTATACATACTTTTCATGTCTCTGTGAAGCAATAGCTGTGCAAACTGTAAACCTTCCCTGATTGGGCATTTGACTGGTTCCTTGTTGCTTTGTGTGTGTGTGTGTGTGTGTGTACACATAGATGTGCATGTACAAATGTTCACATATATACACCTAAACACATACGTATTTGTCCATGCACTTAACACACTTAATGTCTGTGTTTCTCTCCTTGCATTGGCATTTCTGCTGGGTTTCTTCCAACCTTACTAGCCTGGTTGCCTACACAGAAATCCTCCTCTCTGCTCAGGTCCTGCTCTGCTCTGAACTATAAGTGGATCTTGAGACCTGGGGAAGAAGTGTGGTGTCCATGTACCTTAGAAAGACAGTCAGTCTTCCTGAACCAGTGAGGCCATCCTTTTCATCCAAGTGCATGGATTTTGGCAGCATGCTTGGGCAACTGGGAGGGAGGGCAGAGACACCTGTTCATCCAGCGTGACCTGTCAAATCTAGCTGGAGATCAAGGAACTGATAGCCCATCACCCCTGTATCCTTCTTAATCCCATTAAGCATTTCTTTATTTCTGCTCATTGGGTGTTAAACATCTGCTCTTTTATTTGTTTGTCTGTGTTGTGTCACTTGGTCTAGTTTCCAAGCCACCTGGGGAATCATGTGGGGTCAGGACATAAGACAGGTATTATGATGACCTGGACTTAGCACATGCTAAGTCTCAAAAATGATTAAGTGGTATTTGCTGTTTGTAGTAAAGTAAGAAAACATACTGTAATAGTTATTATTGAGTACCAGTGCTCCTAGATATTTTTTCCATATTTTATATAATCCTCACTGCTCTCATAGGAGATACTGTTTTTTTTCCATAGGAAGTTGAAATGTAGGTGTACAGTGCTGAGATATTTTACAAGCATATGTAATAAGAGATAAAATGTGGGATTATGGTTAAGTTTAAGATGTTAAAGTAATTCTGTTAGAATAAGCAGTTATCTCAAGCATTCTGATTAGCAGAGGTTTGATTTTGGAGAGGCCTCTGGAGTCTTACCATCCCCACGTGGTTGAGATCCCCTATTGTAGTGATCGGATTGCCTCTCTGTTTCCTCTTTGAAACCTTGAGCCTTTGGGGCCGATGCTGTGGTGTAGTGGGTAAAGCCGCCGCCTGCAGTGCCAGCATCCCGTATGGGCACCGGTTCGAGTCCCAGCTGCTCCACTTCCGATCCAGCTCTCTGCTGTGGCCTGGGAAAGCAGTAAAAGATGGTCCAAGTATGGTACAAGTCCTTGGGCCCCTGCACTCATGTGGGAGACCTGGAAGAAGCTCCTGGCTCCTGGCTTTGGATCAGCACAGCTCCGGCTATTGTGGACAATTGGGGAGTGAACCAGTGGATGAAGAATTCTCTCTCTCTCTGCCTCTCCTTCTCTCTCTGTGTAACTCTGACTTTCAAATAAATAAATAAATAAATCTTTAAAGAAAAAAAAAGAAACCTTGAGTCTGTCCCAGACTCTAGCCTGAAAAAGAATTGGGAATTTATGGCAGATAGAGTGGTATGATTGGGTTTTGTGGAGTCTTGTCAGGGGAGGAGCAAATGATTGGAATTTAAAAGTAGAATACATTTTACAGTAGTGCTACCAACATGCATAGCTCCAGGGGCCATTGATTTGTCATTGCTACTAGACATGGAAATGTAAACCCATGATTGAGGAAGGAAGAGTTATGTAGTATCTGCCCACCATTGGTAGGAACAAATAACTGAGTTATGGGACTGAATTTTGAATATGAAATTATAGTCAGAAATGGAATTTGTTGGAATGAAAAGTTGTTTTTCTAGATTTTAAGTAGAATAGTATTTCATTCATATGGGTATCAGGTGCTAAGGGAAGTGGGAAACTTAAAACTGCTTTCAGAAGAACAAAATTCATTCAGTGTGATTTTGTTTAAATGCATGTTTCCAAAACTGAGTGTGTTTTTCTGTCTAACTCGCACCACAAGTGGCTGCTGGTTCATAGTTTTGTAAAACTTTTTACATATCCCGGGACCCCAAGCTTGGCAGTGTTATTTAGAGAACCAAATTATTGTTCATGAAAGTGTACTTACAAATGGAAGTGTACGTATAAACGGAAGCACAATTCATGACTTAGGAGTAACCCATTGCCCCGCTATAGACATAAGTCTAGGTGAAGTTTTCAGAGGCTGTTCATATGGTAGCACACACCAAGGACACCCTGCTTTTCTCTGGAACAGTACAATAATGGATCCAATGTTGTTAAAGCGCCGAATGGCACACTCCTAAAAGCTTTTCAGTTTGGTAACAAGTGCCAGAAAGTCATGATAGAGTTCATCCACCAGATCTCTGATCCAGTCATGGATAAAGGAGTGTCTCACGGTAGTACTGCTGTTTGTAAGACAGAGTGGGGAGCTGGAGAATGGATGTGATAGAATAGGGGGTGGGCTTGCATTTAGTGCAGAAGAAGGAGGAAGAAGGAAATACACACAAGGGAAGATTGAGACAGCAGGGAAAACACTGAAGGCTCTCAAGTCAATCATGGGGAGCTAATGTGTGTTTCTACTCTAGGCCTTAAAAGATGACTTTACCAGGGCCTGCACTGTGATGTAGCGTGTTAAGCTACTGTCTGTAGCACCAGATCCCCTACTGGTGCTTGTTCCAGTCCCAGCTGTTCCACTTCCAGTACAGTTCCCTGCTACTGTGCCTGGGAAAGCAGCAGAGGATGGCCCAAGTGCTTGAGTCCCTGCACCTACATGGGAGACCCAGATGAAGTCCTGGCTCCTAGCTCCTGGCTTCAGCCTGGCCCAGCCCTGGTCATTGCAGCCATCTGGGGAGTGAACCAGTAGTTGGAAGATACTCTGTCTTTCTCTCTCTCTGTTTTTCTATCTCTGTGTGTTTATGTGTGTATGTGTCTCCCTCTCTCACTATAACTCTGACTTTCAAATAAATAAATCTTTTAAAAAAATTGACTTTACCGACAATGATTTGGCAATAATGTTAGGCTATCTCAGAGAGCATTCTGGTACTGAGAAACCAGTTGGAGAAGTGTCTAAGCCTAGACTGAGTATTTGTAGATATATAGGAGGGGAAAAAAGGCAGGTATTTACTATCAATAATACTCAGATTATAGGTCTCACAGTCCATTCTTTTTTCATGTATTATCAATTCTCATTAACCTCTAGAATGTACAAGTGTAATCCTCTTCTAAGATTTCCAAGATCTATGATTGATTATATGTGCAACATAGAGCAGAAACACTGGGTGGAAAATGAACTCTTTTTTTTTTTTTTTTTTTTTTGCAACTTCTGGTTTGAGTAACTAACATCTATACTGTTACTAAGAATATGTCTCAAATATATCCTTATAGATATAACTGTCTAACCCCCTCAAAAAAAAACACTTTCAACATTTTAAGATGATACATCTTTTGTTGCAGCTTTAGGGGACAAGTTCCATGGTATACCATAAATCTTGATTTACCACCCTACAAAAGATGGCATGAATTGATGGTTGACAAGGCAGCAACGGTATGCTATGATTCTTAAATCCTCTATTTCTGACCTTACTGAATAAAAGTGTGCTTTTTAAAGAATAACTGCTTAAAGTTATCCACTAAAGAGTTTAAAAGTATACCCTTGATACTTTTCTAGCCAGCACAAGGAATAATAGTGGAGGAAAATATGTCATCTAGGAGAGATACAGCTTCTTGCTCCTTTCTGTAGACTTTGCTTTTGTTTCTGTAGATTTTTGAAGCAAAAGAATGAAAATCCCTTCATCTAAGTGACTAAAAGTCAAGTGTCATTTTAAAAATAAATTGTGATTATTTTAAAATATTTTTGAATCTTTTCACTTAATAACAAATATTCTCTATTTGATCTAGCTGTGAATAAGTCAAAAGGTCTACATCCACTCCTGTTATACCAATATTAATCCTAAGGTCAGCACTTCTTTATATATTTTATTGTGTTTTACTTATTTATTTTTCAGGTAAAAGTTCTAGTGAATTCCTTGAAGAATGTAGTAAATGCATTTGTGCCAAGTGGGAAAATTATGCAGATGGTGGATGAAAAGTTGGTAAGAAATTATTTCCTACACACAATATAAATATGCATATACACAGAGAGTTCAAAAAATGCTCTGATATTTATTTAATGGATAATTCAGAAGGTATCTTCTGAGGATCTTAGGCAAATTTGCATTTATTGTAGGTCACTGTGAAAACTTCAGAAGGACTTAAACTCTGGGGATTGGAAAGATTAGAGTAACAGGACATAAAGCATGGGAAATGTTGGCAGTTAACTACTCTCTTGGTGATTTTTGAAAGTCTGGACTCTGGCAGAGCAGAGAACAATATACATATTTCATGAATATGAATATGGAATTTCCTGTCCTCTTGCATGTTTTCATTTTTAAGTCCATTATTGAAAACTTAGTTCCTTTCTTGAGTACTTTGCCTTGGTATCTCAGGACACCCCAAGATTTTTCTAGCTCTAACCAAATAAATATGTTCTGTGGAATCCTTTCATACAGCTACGGCCCTTGAAACTCACTTGGTGTCGCTCCCCCTCTTCACGGAGGAACGACACAGGACCCTGCGCTCTTCTTTTGTCTGCTTGGCCCTTCCCGGGTTTGCTGCTGGTCCTTCCCGGGTTGACTGCCGATCCTTCCACCTCCGTGGAAGGGCGGCTCCCCCTGCCACTTTCCCCACTTCCGCCGGGGGAGCGGCACACCGCCGGCCGGCTCTCTCGGGGGCTGCTCAGATGTTCCTCAGGTGTTCCCCTTAGATGTTCGTGGTGCATGTTGTCTCTCTCCTCCTTTATAGTCCTCTTCCACCAATCCCAACTCTGCTACCCACACGCCGAGTACGCTACTCTCCTCCAATCAGGAGCAAGATCAGCTCCTGCAGGTTATTGGTCGAACTGGAGGCAGCTGTGTAGAAGTTGTTTACTTCTCTCCCAGCGCCATATTGTGGGAGAGCAGATGCATAGAATAAGTCTTAATTCCAGTAATTTAGTCTAGTCCGAGTTGCTCCCCACACTTGAGGGTTCCTTGTGACTTTCATTCTTCCTTGGTCATGCAGGAAGACCCCGTTTCCCAGCTTCTTTTTCATCTAGGTAGGACCCAGCTCCTGGAGCTCCCTTTTCTCAGTCTCCTCTCATGTTTCTGCAGGGTGCAGAGGGCTAGGGGAGAACACCAAGGCCGTAGGGCACACTGAGCACACGGGGCTTATTGAACACTTTGTTCAGGAGTAGTCCTGCGCATTGTTGAGGTTTAGCAGCACACCTGGCCTCTGCCTACTGGGTGCTGCTACCACAGTCTCAGTCGTGACAACCAAAAGTGTCTTGAGACTTCGCCGAATCTCCCATGGGGGACAAAACTGCCTCTGTTGAGAATCATCGTCCTAGAAGCTGGGTCCTGGACACATCCTCTTTATAACACTTGACCTGCTGACCACAGTTCATGCCCTCAGAGCCTTTGATTAAAGCGGTCTTTGATGTTTGTACCTGCCCAGACTTCCCCCAACATGAGCAATCTTGACAGGAGCAAAAGAGGAACAGGTCCCTGCTTCCCTCCTCTGCCCTCATTTCCCTCTGCCTTGAATATCAATAGGGGTAACAGCACTGCAAAGTGTTTGCTGCCTTGCTTTGAAATCAGGCATTAGGCTTTAAGGCTGATCCATCACAGACTGGCTGTGTGTTCTTGTTAAGTTTCTTAACCTATGAAACTTAGTATTTAGTAATTATATGTTTTTTGCATGGTGGTTGTGAGGAATAAGTGACATACTGTATGTGAAGCATGGTTTTAGAACATAAATGTTTAATGAATGTTCATTGAATTGTATCTGTTAAGTTACACTTATGCAATACTTTGAATTATTAGGAAAAAACAAGGTCACAGTACCAAGTTGGTGAGGAATGGGACTTGTGAATTTTTTTTTTTTTTTTGACAGGCAGAGTTAGACAGAGAGAGAGACAGAGAGAAAGGTCTTCCTTTTGCCGTTGTTCACCCCCCAAATGGCTGCTGTGGCCGGCACGTTGTGCCGATCTGAAGCCAGGAGCCAGGAGCTTCCTCCTGGTCTCCCATGCGGGTGCAGGGCCCAAGCACTTGGGCCATCCTCCACTGCCTTCTCGGGCCACAGCAGAGAGCTGGACTGGAAGAGGAGCAACCGGGACTAGAACCCGGGGTGCCAGCGCTGCAAGCGGAGGAGGATTAGCCTAGTGAGCCGGCACTGGCTAGGACTTGTGAATTTTAAGCACATTATGTCAGCAAGAGCCTGTGAACTTCAGTTGTGATCTCAGTGTTAGCGAGTCATTCCAGTTGTAAATAAAAGCATGATGTCTCCTGTTGAACTTGCTGTTGTGTTTCTGTGGTTTGCTAACAGAATGTGGTTAATATTTACAAGGGTAAGTTGTAATGGCAGTAAGGAGTGCTTGTTATGATTCTCTGTATTGTGGAGTGTGTTAGGTCAGCCAGGGGGAATCATCCCAGTATCTGCTCTCTCTGGAGAATGGGGGAAATATCAGGCAGGAAAAAACAGTCTGAGAATCACAGGTCTCCTTCTTTATAGGACCTAATTCTGAGTACAACATAGGAGCTTTTAGAAATATTTGATGTGAAAATAACTTATCACCTGAAGTGGTAACATTATCCAAGACAAATTATATGTCAAAGCACCAGATCTCAGAGCATGCTTTTAGGTTAAATCATTGTTAATTTACTTGTTTTCAGCCTAGTATGCTTGGCAACTTTCCTGGCCCTTTTGAAGAGGAAATGAAGGGAATCGCAGATGTTACTGGTATACCTTTAGGTAACGTTCACTTTGTAGCATTTAAAAACTTCAATAAAGTACTTTAAAATATTTTGATTGAGGCATGATATAAATGTAGTAAACTGTATAGATCTTAAGTATACAGATCAATGAACTTGTGTTTTGACTGCATACGTGCATGCAGTCACCACTCAGATCAAGATGTGGGACGTTCCAGCACCCCTGAGTGCTCCATGCCCTTCACTGTCTCCTTAAGTAACCACTAGTCTGACCTGCTCATAGATCAGCTTTGTCTCTTCATGGCTTATAAATTGAACTATTGTGTATAGTTTCTTGTGTTTATTTTTACAGGTAGTAAGCTGTTGTATGAGTAGGAAATTTAGGTTGGATATTAAGAATAAAGCAGTTATATGAACATTCTTGTATTGCCTTTTTTAAAAAGATTTATTTATTTATTTATTTGAAAGTCTGAGTTACACAGAAAGAGAAGGAGAGGCAGAGAGAAAGAGAGATTTTCCATCCAATAGTTCACTCCCCAATTGGTTGCAACGGCTAGAGCTGCATCAGTCTGAAGCCAGGAGCCAGGAGATTCTTCCGGGTCTCCCACGTGGGTGCAGGGGCCCAAGGACCACTGCTTTCCCAGGCCACAGCAGAGAGCTGGATCAGAAGTGGAACAGCTGGAACTCGAACCGGCACCCATATGGGATGCCAGCACTGCAGGTGGCTTTACCCACTATGCCACAGAGCTGGCCTAACTGACTTTTTTTTTTTTAACAGGAGGTTTTTTGGGGGACTTTTAAAAAAATTAATTCATTTGTTTGAAAGGCAGAGTGATAGAGAGGAAGAGACAGATCTTTCATTTGCTCATTGACTCCTCAAATGCCCACAACATCCTGGGTGGGCCAGGCTAAAGGCAGGAACCAGAAACTCCATCCAGGTCTCCCACATGTGTGACGTGGACCCAGGCACTTCGGCAGTCATCCAGTCATCCACTGCCTTCCCAGCCGCATTAGTGGGAGGGTGGATCAGAAGCAAGGAAGCCTGGACTTGAACCAGCATTCAGAAATGCAGTGTGGGCCCCCTCCCATTGTGCTACAACACCTGCCCCTGTGTCCTTTGATGAGCATGTGCACACTTTTTTTTTTTTTTTTTTGATATTGAGTATATTGAGTAGGAACTGAACTGTTGGGTACCAGGGTAGCTGTATATTAATGCACCTGCTTTCCAGGTGCATTAACAGAAAGCTAGATCAGAAAGAGAGCAGCCCAAACCGGAGCCAGCATTCTGATACAGGCTAACACATATGGTGGCTTGCCTTGCTGTGCCATAAAACCAACCCTTTGAAATAGATTTTGTGTATGTTAAGGATCAAAGTTTTTTTTCATTTGGTACCTCCAGTTGACTAGACATCTATTAAAAAGACTATTCTTCTCTCAGTAAATTACAATGGTATCTTTGATATAATTCAGATTATTGTAAACAGCTGTTTCTGATTGGGAACTATATTAAGTTGCATTGATCTCTTTGCCTTTCCTTATATCAATACCATGCTACCTTAATTATTATAACTATTTTATGTTAGGAATGCTAGCAAATCAATACTAAATGTAAATATCAGGAGCAAAATGGGTTAACAGATGATTTATAATAAGAGTGGAATTTAACCAAAATGGAAATAAACATTGGATTGTGCTGAAAAGCACGGTAAGCTTAGCGTGTTGACATTAAATGGGACAGTGATCAAGTGTGCTGTGTATCTTTGAATTAAATGCTAAATAGTAGTATATAGTTTTAGAAAAATATTCAAGAAATAAGATATTCTACAATGGATTTTCTTGGCAGCTCTGCAGTAATTATTAATGGTTCTTAAATTTCCTTTCTTACCTTAAAAATGTTAGTCACACCTAAAAATTTTTTCTGGACAAAGTGCATTTTCAGCACACAGCCAAGAACTAGATGGATTATATTGTCATGTTTGTGCTCCCCAAAGAAAACGTAAAATGAAGCACGATGGACCTTATTTTGTAGCACATTCCAGCTTGCCCAGATGTTCATCACACCAGGTAGCTGCCTCCTTGAGGATCTGTGTTGTCTTCAGACTCGAGCGTAGGCAGTGGGGGACACTGCCCCTTGGCCAGCTGCTCAGGCACATTCAGACTGCACATTCTAACACAACGAAGAGTTAAACTTCTTCAGTTTCCTCATACGGTTATAATTCAGTCTGTTAACAAAAATTCTTTCTTTCCTCACAGGAGAGATTATTTCATTCAACATTTTTTATGAATTTTTTACCATGTGTACTTCAATCATAACAGAAGACAAAAAAGGTAAATATGTATTGAGGAAGAGTAGGCCAAGAAAAATCTTTTTTTATTTGGTTTGGTTTGGTTATTTTTTTTTTAAGATTTATTTATTTATTTGAAAGTCAGAGTTAACACGGGGGGGTGGGGGCGGTGTCTTTCGTCCGATGGTTCACTCCCAGATGGCTGCAATGACCAGCACTGCACCGATCTGAAGCCAGGAGCCAGGAGCTTCTTCCCGGTCTCCCACGTGGGTACAGGGCCCCAAGGGCTTGGGCCATCTTCTACTGCTTTCCCGGGCCATAGCAGAGCAGCCAGGTCTCAAACCAGCGCCCATGTGGTATACCGGCACTTCAAGCAAGGGCATTAACTCACTGCACCACAGCACCTGCCCCAGTTTGGTTATCTTAAAGACATAATTACAAAGAGAGAGAGAGAGAGAGAGAGAGAGAGATCGATCTTCCATCCACTGGTCCACTTCCCAAATGGCCACAATGGTCAGGGCTGGAGCTAGGGGCTTCTTCCAGATCTCCCATGTGTGTGCAGGGGCCCAAGCACTTGGGCCATCTTCTACTGCTTTCCCAGGCCATCAGCAGGGAACTGGATTGGAAATGGAGCATCTTAACCTGCTAAGCCACTGGCTCTGAGAACAATCTTCTAAGAAATTACTGGAATTAGAACTTCTGTGTAAATGTGGTATATGTTGTATGTTTATTTATCTTGGCAAATTTTTTATCAGAGCATTGAAAACTGTCCTTATTTAATACTATAATATATCTATTAAAGTTTAATTAGGATGCAAATAACTTGGAAGAAGTATTTCAGGACAAGAAACATTCTTTTTTTTTTTTTTTAAGATTGATTTATTTGAAAGTCAGAATTACACAGAGATAAAAGGACAGACAGAGAGAGAGAGAGAGAGAGGTCTTCCATTTGCTGGTTCACTCCCCAATTGGTAGCATCAGCTGGAGCTGCGCCAATCTGAAACCAGGAGCCAGGAACTTCTTCCAGGTTTCCCACGTGGGTGCAAGGGCCCAAGGTCCTGGGCCATCTTCTGCTGCTTTCCCAGGCCATAGCAGAGAGCTGGATCAGAAGCACAGTAGCTGAGACTTGAACTGGTGCCCACATGGGATGCCAGCACTGCAGGCGGCAGCTTTCGGCTTTACCTGCCAAGCCACAGCACTGGCCCCAAGAAACATTCTTAACTTTCATCAGTCAGCTAATCCCATCTGTGTGATTTCCTAGAAGTGCTTCCTTATCTTCATATTTGTAAAGGTGTATGTTTTTCTTGAGACCTGGAACAAACATTCTCCCATTGTATTAGCCTCACTTTCCTTTATTTCTCCTGGCTGGTTCCCAAAGTACAAAATACAAGATGACTTCCCGTGATTCACCCTGACTTTTGACCTATACTGTGGTATGTTCTGCTTGCACCTCTGATCCCTTGACATTTCCAGCTGGAGGTGACAGTCTCTGAAGGGAAGCATTGTTCAGTCACATTAGTTGAGCCCCACATGTCTATGTCCTGGCAGAACCACATCATAGTGGACCAAAGAATAACCAGTGATCCTTTTCCCTTATTCTGATCTTACCTTGAACCCTGTGCTTTCAGAATTAATGGGAATATGTAGCAAATGTGATGATGACAGCAGTTTGATCTTAAGACTTATGATCTCAGACTGCTTCTTAATTCTTATTAGATGAAGCAGTTATAAAAATAAATTAACCAAAATTAAGTTTCTAGCAGTGACTTAGAATCAGTTATACTATCTCAATTGCTGCTGCAAGTCCCTTCTGCTTACTTTTAAATAGGTCATCTACTGCATGGGAGAAACATGGATTTTGGAATATTTCTTGGGTAAGTAAAGAACACAATATACATCATTCCTTTGAAAGAGTAGATCGTGTTAAATGGATGAAAAGTTAAGTACCGAGTCATGGCCACAATATGACCAGAAGTAAAGATAACTGAATTCTTGCGTTTTGAGATGAGATAGGCCCACTTACTCTGTTATTTGAGTTTGTGTCTGAGAAATGACACCTAGTCAACAAATTTAGGGCGTGTTTGATGGCCACAGAAGCACATCTGTAGTTCATGTATTGCTTAGAAGGAAGAGTAGCATTGTATTGTATGTATGTCTTAACATTTCTTAAAAAAAAAAAAATAACGGTTTTGTACTTAGAGACTAACATTTGATTCTGGAGCTTGTTACTCATAGTCTCTGTGATCCTGGGAGCTCACTCAACTTTTGTGGCCTCAGTTTTATCCTCTGGAAAACTGGAGATAAAAGCAGCCCCTCTTGGGAAGGTGTTAGCACATCCTAATAGGATTGATCATTAGAGATCAGATAAAGTGATCTTCAGTGGTTATCTGCTGATAAGTCTGGCTCTCTTTCTCAGCCACGTTCATCATCAGGCTCATCCTTGTTCTTAACTGTTACTGAAATTTGTCTTTTGTAGGTGGAATGTAAATAATAATACCTGGACTGTAACTGAGGATCTAAAACCTTTAACAGTAAATTTGGACTTCCAAAGAAACAATAAAACTGTCTTCAAGGCTTCAAGCTTTGCTGGCTATGTGGGCATGTTAACAGGATTCAAACCAGTAAGGAATCTCTTATTACATGATTTTACAGGTAGCTTTCTGTCCTGTTTTTACTCTCTGTGAAGGGTGCAGTCTAAGAAAATGGGAGCCTAATAGAAATATGAAGCCACAGTGCGTCCGTTGTACTTCTTGTCACTTGCATAGGTATGTGATCACGTGGTAGAGAAGAGTAGAAAGAAAATAAAGGCTTCTTAGCCAGTGAAAGAGCATGCAGCCCGGTGTCCAGGGCTGAGAGTCAAAATTTGGGATCTGACTTGGGTCTGCAGTTTACTTAGACAAGTGAATCCTTCTCTGCTCTTCAATTTCTTGTCCAAAAAATATGGTCTACTTACCTCACATACCAGATGTAAAAAATGACTTGAACTTTTTAAGAGGCCTTGTTAATTTTTTTAAAAGATTTATTTATTTATTTGAAAGTCAGAGTTACACAGAGAGAGGAGAGGCAGAGAGAGAGAGAGGTCTTCCATCCGATGGTTCACTCCCCAGATGGCCTCAACGGCGGGAGCTGCACTAACAGAAGCCAGGAGCCAGGAGCTTCTTCCGGGTCTCCCACATGGGTGCAGGGGCCCAAGGACTTGGGCCATCTTCTACTGCTTTCCCAGGCTACAGCAGAGAGCTGGATCAAAAGTGGAGCAGCCGGGTCTTGAACCAACACCCATATGGGATGCTGGCACTGTAGGCCAGGGCGTTAACCCACTACACCACAGCGCCAGCCCCTGAGGCCTTGTTAGTTTAAACTATTACTATCATGTTGTTGTTGTTGTTGTTGTTTTAAGATTTATTTATTTTGAAGGCAGAGCAACAGGGAGACAGAAAGAGACAAAGTAAGGGAGAGATCTTTCATCTACTAATTGACTCCCCAAATGCAATGGCCACAATAAGTGAGGGCAAGGCCAGGCTGAAGTCAAGAGCCAGGAACTGCTTCTGGGTCTCCCACATGGATGGGAAGAGCCCAAGCACTAGAGAGCTCCCAGGACTAGAATTGACACTCCACCCGGTGTTTCAAGTGACAGCTTAACCTGCTGTGCCACAATGTGGGCCCAATTTAGATTTTTCTTTGGCTTTCCCTCCGACCCAACCCAGACCTTTATGTGCTGCTATAAAGCAAAGTGATAGGGCCTTAAAGAGATTGACTGAAGATTTTGACTTCATCGCTTTGTCTTTTTTTTTTTTTTTCAGGGACTGTTTAGTCTTACACTGAATGAGCGTTTCAGTATAAATGGTGGTTACCTGGGTGAGTAGCGTGTAACTGAAATGGGAATTTCACAGCTGTTTTAGGAGGAAGACTGGACTGTGCCTCCTGGATAAGGTGCTGCGCCACTGTGTGTGCTTGCTCTTTTCCAGGTGTCTTAGAATGGATTTTGGGAAAGAAAGATGCCATGTGGATCGGGTTTATCACTAGATCAGTTCTGGAAAACAGCACAAGGTAAAGTGATTGGCTGCTGTATGATCACATATTTAGCATATTTTAAAGTACATCAAAATACAAGGTATCTCCTAAATTGCAGTGTACCTTCTCCTTCTTTGAGGAACTACTGTAGAATTTCTTTTGTTGTGTGTTCTTATAGCAAGGAAATGAATTGAACTATCTAAAAATGTACAAGGAAATGAATTATTTAAACAGTACTTGCGATAATGATACAATGAAGAATATTTATGAATCTTTTTGTTTAAAAAGGAAATCACTCACACACCAAAGAAAAGCTGTACCATAACATCACCATTTAAATGATGATACCTGTTAATCTATAAGTTATACTCTGCCCCAGCACAGAAATCCTGCAATAGCAAAATTACCATTCCTTCAGCCAACACTGCATCTGAATGACTTCAGATGTGTGGGCGTCGATCCTATCTCTCCTACTTTCCAAGGAATAATATTAGGTTGTCTTCTTGGATAATCCATTCCAGTTTTTAATAGCCCTCATTTTCAAGAAGTTTACCTTCTATTCCCAAAGTCTGATGTACTGTATAGTACTGTTTCCCTGTGTTGTGAGGTTGAGTGACTTAAGGGTGGAGGATGATGCCTTGAGGCCCATTTGTCTCTCTTTCAGAGAAGAGGGACCTTCTGCTGTTCCCATCTCTGATCTCTGCGTCACACCGCTTGGGAGGGATCACTCCTCCTGCAGCCATTTGCTCACTGGCTGTCTTTAAAGACCAAATGTTCCTCAGATACTTGTTTTCCCTTAGTTTCCATAGATCCAGAACAGTTCCAAGTCATCTAAAAATAATTTCTTCCTAAAAAAACATGTTTCTATGTAGTTATGAAGAAGCCAAGAATATACTGACCAAGACCAAACTATTGGCTCCAGCGTACTTTATCCTGGGAGGCAACCGGTCTGGGGAGGGTTGTGTGATCACCCGGGAAAGAAAAGACGCTCTGGATGTTTATGAGTAAGTAGACTTGTTAAAGCAAAGTAAACAGGGGGACTTGGGGTACTCGGTGTACTGGTTGAAATACCACTTGTATTGCCCACATCCCACATTAGAGTCACTGTGTTCAAGTCCCAGCTCTACTCTCAATTCTGGCATCCTGCTAATATATATCCTGGGAGGTAGCAGACGATGGCCCAAGTCATCTTGGGTCCCTACTATCCATGTGGAAGACCCAGATTGAGTTCCAGGCTCCCTATTGTGGCCTGGCCCCCTGTCCCAGGCTGTTGTGGGCATTGGAAAGTGAACCAGTGATGAAAATCTCTGTCTCTCGCTCATTCAAATAAATAAAATTACAAATAAATTTATCTTTGAAAGTAGAAGCCGAAACATAGACTGATGTACAGATTTAAGGCGTGAAATCTAAAAGGAAGTCTCTCCTTTTGTATCCAGATTGGCTGCTAAGCAGGGGAGATGGTATGTGGTGGAAACAAATTATGATCGTTGGAAAAACCCCCTCTTCCTTGATGATCGCAGAACACCTGCCAAGATGTGTCTAAACCGCACAACCCAAGAGGTAACATTTGCAGTGTCGTACATAGGAACTGTCACCATTAAAGGTGATCTTAGTTGGGGCTGGCACTGTGGCATAGTAGGCTAAGCTTCCACCTGCCACGCCAACATCCCATATGGCACAGGTTCACAGGTTCGTGTCCCGGCTGCTCATCTTCCCTTCCAGCTCTCTGCTAATGACCTGGGAAAGCAGAAGATGGCCCAAGTGCCTGGGTCCCTGCATCCACATGGGAGACCTGGAAGATGCTCCTGGCTTCAGAGCCAGCCGTTGCGGCCATTTGGGGATTGAACCAGCAGATGGAAGACCTTTTCCTCAGTCTCTACCTCTCTGTGTCTATAACTCTACCTCTCAGATAAATAAATAAATCTTTATACTAAAAAAAAAATATACATCAGGAAAAAAAAAAGATGATGGTCTTAGTTCTGGCATTGCTCTTTGCTCTTTAGAGATTTTACAAGCATTTTATGAACCTGGCATTCTTCAGTATCCCCAGACAATCCCCACTAGGTTTGTTTTTTTTTTTTTTTTTTTTTATTTAAAAACAAAAATTTGGGGCCGGCGCCCGTGGCTCACTTGGCTAATCCTCCACCTGCGGCACCAGCACCCTGGGTTCTAGTCCCGGTTGGGACACCGGGTACTAGTCCCGGTTGCTTCTCTTCCAGTCCAGCTCTCTGCTGTGGCCCGGGAGTGCAGTGGAGGATGGCTCAGCTCCTTGGGCCCTGCACCTGCGTGGGAGACCAGGGGGAAGCTCCTGGCTCCTGGCTTCGGATCGGCACAGTGCGCCAGTCGTAGCGGCCATTAAGGGAGTGAACCAATGGAAGGAAGACCTGTCTCTCTGTCTCTCTCACTGTCTATAACTGTCTATCTGTCTCTCTAACTCTGCCTGTCAAAAACAAAAAAGAACAAAAATTTGCAATAGCTTCCCTTTCTTATTCTAATGCTGGGTGCCTCTCTGTGCAGTTGTGCAGTTGAATAGCAAACAGGTAATAAAAAGAGGGAAGGAAGAGAGAAAAGGGACAATAATACACAGGAATGGTTCCCTGCAGCAGGGAGCCCACAGGGAGCCTTCTAAGAGCACTGGTGGGGGAGGGGAGAGGGACTGAAGAGTGCCCTTTTGTGTGGATAAATGCTGCTGACATAGGTGTTGCACTTACTGAACAAAACAATTTTTATGTTTTAGAATATCTCATTTGCAGCCTTATATGATGTCCTGTCAACAAAACCTGTCCTCAACAAGGTACTGTAAAATATTTACATCAGTTTGTTTATTTAGGGAGCAAATTTAGTCCTGTGTGGTATGTTCCCCTGTTATCTTGGATCAGTCTTGAGCACAGAATTTTTATTCAACTAAAGATTGCTTTTTTAAAAAAGGTCTTCCTGTGGCTAAACCATAAAGTTTGGAGTTTTGACAGGGAAGAGTTCTGTTTCCAGCCTTACTCGAGTGGCATTTTGATTAAGTCTGGCATTTAACTCTTGAGCTTTCAAAAGGTCTCATACCATACTCAAAGGCTAACACCTAAAACTCAGAAAAATAAAGTCTGCAATCCATTTTCAGACGGAGATCTGTGACTTGGGAGGTCAGGGTTCCCTTCAACTTCCTCGCATCCTGTTTTTTGTTTTTCTCACACTGTAGCTGAGAAGTGCAAATTGCAGTCCTGCTGTTTGCCAGTAGTCATTCTTCCTGTGTTCCGGATAGACTCCTCCTAACTTACCCCTTGTGTCCCTTCTCTTCTTTTTCTTGAACCTTTTCCCTCGCTCTCCCTAAAACGCATGCGCGTCCACTACATCTGCCCGAACAAATCATGTTCCTTAGCGCAGTGACCCTGCCCTACTTCTCTTGTTGCCCACACCATCTTCCTGTGAGCTCACAGATGGTGCACGGTTGGTGATTCCACCGTCTGTGTGACCCCAGTGTGGGTGTAGGCGCATGCTTTGTGAGCCCTATGCCTGCAGAGTGCCCCACTGTCTTAGAAATACTTGGAGGCTAAAGATAGCCACACGTGTGGGACTCCTGGACACTGTTAGACCTGGGAATGGTTCACTGAGTCTTAGAGCACCAGCCATGGAGCAGTGAACTGCTCAGGAGTAAGCTCTTGTCAGGGCTGGAGAATCCCCCTGAGCTTGTTTCTATTCCTGACCTGGAACCATGGTTCTAATGAAGTTGGTTGCTTTAATTAATATATTAGTATTATTAATAGCTTATTATTATAAATGTATTACATATTATGTTAGTATATAATTGTTCTGTGTTTGTTGTTTAAGTAACTTCATAAAACAAATCCTGCAAGTACAGAAAATGTTAATACTTGTCAGAACACCTTAAGATTGAAAATATCCTTAAAAGAAAAAAATTAATTTTTCTTTCAGCTGACAGTATTCACAACCTTGATGGATGTTACCAGAGGTCGTTATGAAACTTACCTGCGGGACTGCCCAGACCCTTGCATAGGTTGGTGAGCACGCAAGGGGCCGACAGACCATGCTCTGAGACGTGAGGCTGAGATCACAAGCGTGCCTGGGCAGCGTCCCATCTCCTTCCAGGGCCTGAGTCTCAGGTCAGGTTCCCTGAAGTCATGAGCTTGTCTTCTCAAGTGGTTTACAACTTCTGCACTGTTTTTGCCAGATCAGTTGATTTCTTCTTATGAACAGGTAAAACAATCTTCTAGAAATTTGATGCCTTCCATTTTACTTTGACATTTGGAGATGGGCCATTAAACCCTGTGAGACCCATCTCCACGGAATAATCCAGGGTTGTCTAGGTGTCTGCTGTAGAACACCTGCAGGTGGAATGTGTGAGTAAACAGCCCACGTGATTCAGTTTTTCACTTCTACTCTTGTAGATGGATGCTTTCCTAAGTACCAGTCTTAGCCTGCTGCTCCTAACCACTGTTAAAGTTACTCTGCTATTAGTGACAGCAATATAATTTTACCACATTTGACTGGGGGATGAAACATTCAACTGTGTGTTTCTTTTAATGGTCAATAAATGGGCCTCTGACTGTGTAAGTGGTACTTCTGGAAGGTTCATGAAGTAAGCACTGTGCAAGGCAGTCTTTTACACAAAGTACCACAGTGTTCCCTTTAGCATAATTATTCTACCTCCCAGTGACTTTAAAAATTGAGTCCTTGATTCTATGAATTAATAAGTAAACTTGTCTACAACCTATATAAAATAGGAGGTGAACTCATTAAATTCTCATAAGTATCATCTATCTAATAAATAAATTTTTAGTTTTTACTTCTGATTAACATGTATTTTTTTAAAAAATTTATAGAACAGTTGTTAAAAATGTTTTACAGAAATCAATCTACTTATGAAAAACACTAATGAGACCTGTTAATCTGTCTAACCTTTACAATTAACTGTGAAATATGTGCCATTTGTGCAAGATTGTGTCCATATCATTTTGTATGATCTCAGCTGTATCCTGGTACTCAATAAACAGCCACTGGAAACAGTGTCAGTCAGCGGTCATGCATGCTGATTGGGTGTGTGCAGTTGTGTTGGTTTGAGGGTGCGGGGTTGTTATGGAGAAATACAAGCTGAACATAGTATCTGAGTTAAATAGCAGGAGTTATGTAAGTAGGTTATTAAATATGTGACTAAATGGTCACAGTCTTGCATGACTAATACTTACCAACTCTTTTTTTTTTTTTTTAAGATTTATTTATTTATCTGAAAGGCAGAGTTACAGAGAGAAGGAGAAACAGAGAGAAAGGGATCTTCCATCCATTGATTGATTCCCCAAATGGCTGCAATAGCCATGGCTGGACCAGGCCAAAGCCAGGAGCTTCTTCCAGGTCTCCCACGTGGATGGCAGGGGCCTAAACACTTGGGCCATCTTCTGCTGCTTTCCCAGGCCATTAGCACACAGCTGGATCAGAAGTAGAGCAGCCTGGACTTGAACCAGCGCCCATATGAGATGCCAACACTGCAGGCCACAGCTTTAACCCACTGGGCCACGGCTCTGGGCCCTCCTTCCCACCTGTTAGCTAGCATTAGCCTGGTTTGCAGGTGTCCAAAGACAGAGTCCTCCCCCACCAAGATAGGATAGGCTTCCATAAAACTTTATGAATGCATTTCCAGCATCACTCAAGTAAAACAAGAGGAATTACAAGATAATTTTGTTCTGTGTTTTTTGTTTGTTTGTTTGTTTTCAAAGACAAAATTACAAAGAGAGGTAGAGCCAGAGAGAGAGGGAGAGAGAGAGGTTCTCCATTCCATTGGTTCACTCCCCAAATGACCCAATGGCCAGAGCTGAGCTGATCCAAAGCCAGGAGCTTCTTCCAGGTCTCCCATGCAGGTGCAGGGGCCCAAGGACTTGGGCCATCTTCTACCGCTTTCCCAGGCCATAGCAGAGAGCTGGATCAGAAGTGGAGCAGCCAAGACTCGAACCGGCGCCCATACAGGATACCGGCGCTGCAGGCTGGGGCTTTACCCCACTGCGCCACAGCACGGGCCCCAGAGAATTTGTTTTCAAATAGGATCCCATTAATGAAACAAACCTTTTCTTCAGATTTTGTCTCTTTTATAAAAATGAAGGCAAACGATATATTTTTCTTAATGTCATAGTCTATGATGTGCATGGTGATAAAGAGGTGGGATGATAATTGCTGCAGACTGATCCCTCCTTAAAGAGTATAGAGGAAATAGTAGGCATTAAAATTTTAGGCAGTATTTTGTAGTAGATAAGCAGTTTATAAAATAGTATGGTACAGTATAAGCCTATTTATGTAACATGCTGTGTGTGTACTTATGCATAACTAAATACATGTCTAGAATATGAACATGGCTGGGAGAGTATTCCCCAAATACTGAATGTGGTAATAATTGCTGATGTAATTTTGAGAGGAGAAAATACACTCATGGTGAACATTACTGAGACAATTTTTAGAAATACTATTCAAAATTAAGAATCAGGTTGGACCCAAACCATGAACTCTTTTTGTCTGTCTTGTTTGATAGAGTCTATTTAACAGAGCTATTTTCTCCACATGCATAGCTCCTAGATACCTTATTTTTTTTTAAGATTCATTTATTTATTTGAAAGAGTTACAGAGACAGAGAGGTCTTCTACCCACTGGTTCATTCCCCAGATGGCTGCTACAGCCAGCACTCAGCAAGGCCAAAGCCAGCAGGCAGGAGCTTCATATGGGTAGCAGTTTAATTCCATTTCTCCATGTACTTATCTGTGTTCTGTCATACTTTTAATCATCTGTTGCTAACAATGAGAATAAAATCAAGTAACTTGCACAGAGTTACCTCAACAGAAAGAGTGAAAGCTAGGATTTGAGCCAGGTCTACCTGACTTTCTGCTCTTAGCCCTGCCCTCTCCCTTCTTAACTTTACAAACAAGATGAACGAGCAGTTCTGCCATAGGAGACCAGCCCTTGAGCTGGAGTGTTCCAAGCATGGAGTTTAGCCATCATTTTGGTCTGCCTTCTTCTAGTTGTTTATAAATCATTTGCTCCCATGTGGAAGGGAAGCCATTGGGGGTTAGGAATTTGGTGTCAATGTACTTATTCATCTAACACATTGCTTGTTTTTCACTACCCCAATTGTGCTCAGCATGTACCCAGTCAGAGTTAAATAACATCAGGCTTTTTGTGGCTATAGCCAACTATACATTAAAAATACAAAGTTTAGAAATTTTTTTAAAAAAATTTAGGGGACCAGTGCTGTGGCATAGCGGGTAAAGCCACTGCCTGCAGTGCGGGCATCCCATGTGGGTGCCAGTTCGTGTCCCAGCTGCTCCACTTACTATCCAGCTCTCTGCTATGGCCTGGGAAAGCAATGGAAGATGGCCCAAGTTCTTTGGCCCCTGCACACGCATGGGAGACTCAGAAGCTCCTGGCTCCTGACTTCGGATGGGCACAGATCTGGCCGTTGCAGCCAATTGGGGGAATGAACCAGCGGATGGAAGACCTCTCTCTCTCTCTCTGCCTCTCTTCTCTCTCTAACTCTCACTTTCAAGTGAATTAAATAAATAGTTTAAAAAATTAAATTAAAAATTTAGGTCTTAGAATGGAGCAGAATGCAAAAGCTTGGGCAGTTGTCCCAGAGTATATGGGAAAGTCTTGATTAATTGATACAGTTCACCAGCTTAATATCATATATGACAGAAATGGCCATCAGGTCCAACACACTGTCCTGTGCACTAGCCCCATAGTCGACAAGCCCCAGAAAGAATGCCTGGCCCCTCTACCATTAACGTAACCTCTGGTGGCAGCAACTTAAAGGGTTGTAGGGTCACATGAGGTCAAAGGGACTTAACTCCCTCTTAGATTGCAAAAGCAGGGTTTCCCAGCCCAGTGCCATGGGGGATTCCGGTGGGCGCTGGGCTTTCCATGGCACTACTGTAGCTTTTGGGGCAGCGTTTGTCCCAGTTAATTCACTTCACATACCACATCCAGTTGATGTCTTCTGTCCATTTGGAGCGGACAGGCCAACCTGGAAGCCTTTCAGCCTGCTGCCTGTGAGTCTTCTAACCATGCACAGTGCCTTTTAACAGAGTGAGGCATCAATATTTTGTTAGCAGACAGTTCAGTAGCAGCCACTCTCCGGGGATGACTGGGCACAACACGATTGCTGTAGTGTTTGTTACTCATACACGTGCATGAGTGAATCTGGGCAGTATTTTCACATCAGGTGTTTTAAGATGATGAGCTATTTGGCAGAGAGCATGACACTCAAAGGCAGCTTGCTTGGATACCTACTAAATAGCCTGTCAGCTGCAAGTGATGTAATTTTATATGTGTATAGCATATAATACACATATATATATATTTACATGCATAGGGATTGACAGTAAATATGTTTGAAAACATGTAGGTATGAGCCGGCGCCGTGGCTCAATAGGCTAATCCTCCACCTTGCGGCGCCGGCACACCGGGTTCTAGTCCCGGTCGGGGCGCCGGATTCTGTCCCGGTTGCCCCTCTTCCAGGCCAGCTCTCTGCTATGGCCAGGGAGTGCAGTGGAGGATGGCCCAGGTGCTTGGGCCCTGCACCCCATGGGAGACCAGGAAAAGCACCTGGATCCTGGCTCCTGCCATCGGATCAGCGCGGTGCGCCGGCTGCAGCGGCGGCCATTGGAGGGTGAACCAACGGCAAAAAAGGAAGACCTTTCTCTCTCTGTCTCTCTCTCTCACTGTCCACTCTGCCTGTCAAAAATAAAAAAAAATAAAAAAAAATAAAAAAAAAAGAAAACATGTAGGTTTAACACCAACCCTGTTTGAGTCTCAGAAAAATATAACAAATTCAAGTTGTGTTCCATGGTAGTGCCTTAACCTAAACAGCTGCAGCTCCTCTAACTTTATAGATAAGAGTGACAACATGTTGATGGCATGCTTTCAGAATGTTATGGTAAGAGATAGGAGTCCAAAGGAGTCAACTGGAAAATCAGGTGTGCCCAGGTGTGTGAAGGTAAGTGAAATCTCATTAAGACAAGGGTCAGTACCCAAAGAGAAATAACTTGATGGCAATACCAGTTTCTGTTTTTCACATACCACGTTGCCAGAGGGAATAAGTCAGACTTTTCACCTTAGTTATTGAAGAAAGTATTCCCTTGTAAATCTAACAGCCAGTGGCTGAGTCTTTCATTATCAGTAGAGAATGAGGTGTATTGTCTTCCTAAAGATTAGGCAGTCAAGTTTCAGAACTTGAGTTTAACTGCACTTTTGTGTCTGATTGTTAATTTACAGTGGCTGGGCAGCAAGAACGTGTAAAATTTTCACTTTTGCTTGCCATAATGAGTGCACATCACACACACACACACACACACACACACACACTTAGCGTAGAAAAGTTCTTGGAGTAGCAGGTGTTTGGCACCATAGTTAAGGTACCACTTTGGGTGCCTACACCCCATATCAGTGCTTGGATTTGAGTCCCAGCCTTACTCCCAGTTGATTTCAACTTCCTGCTAAGGTGCATCCTGGAAGCCAGCAAGTAGCTAGGTCCCTTCCACCCATGTCGGAGACCAGGATTGAGCTCCTGGCTCCTTCCTGGGTTTGCCCTGGCCCAGCCCCAGCTTTGCTGGCATTTGAGGAGTGAACCAGCAGAGGGAAGCTCCGTCTCCGCCTTTCAGACAACTTTCTAAAAAATTTTTTGAAGTTCATGAAGAATTCACATTATCTTTTGAAGATCTGTTTATTTATTTGGATCAGAGTGGCAGATCTTCCATCCTTGGTTTACTCCCTGTATGGCTGCAACAGGTGGAGCTGGGCCACACCGAATCCAGGAGGCAGGAACTCCACCTGGTCTCCCACATGGTGGCAGGGGCCCAAGCATTTGTGTCATATGCTGCTGCTTCCCAAGCACACGAACAGGGAGCTGGATCAGAAGCAGAGCAGTGGGGACTCACACTGGTGCTCAGATATGGAAGCACCGTGGCTGAACCTGCTGCACCACAATCCCAGCCTCCCACGTTGTCTACATTTAAAAAAAATTTTTTTGAAAATAGAT